TTAGCACTATATATATATATATATATATATATATATATATATATATATATATATATATATATATATATATAGTGCTAAACACACATTTAAAAATATTTCAACTATATTGCTATAACGCACTATCGAGATTAAACAGTGTTTTATCGAAATTTTGACAATAAATGTGTTGATTCAATTACCTTCTACGACCTTTACTCATATTTCAATAAATTTGTTTAGTCCGCCTTGTTAGAAATGTTTAGATCTGGTGGTAAAGAAGTTCTCTAACAAGTTTCTAAGATACTCCTTGTTGCTTCCTACTGCTATTACACAACTTATGGAGCACCCAGGCTCCAGAATTTAATCCAACCCCGGCAATTAAAAACAGTTTACAATAGTCACATGACTATATTTCGCCATTACGGATATCTTACCAGTCGTTTGTTAGTTATCTTCTTTCAATGGCATCTTTAGACGGTCCTCTGTATATTGACATAGCTGACTCGAATAAAGTGCGTCCTCGAAGTCCAAGCTGCCGACTGTAAACTTAGCAACCCACCTTTGACCAGTCCTCTTGGGCATCGAGCACAGACGGTAGACTGTGCAATTTTAATTTTTAACGCAATGAGGCTTATGGAATTAAGAAAAAGAAACCCTTATCAGGTGCTACAAGGAAACGAGCAAACCGTGCATATGTGTCTTAACTGCTATTTTCTTGAAAATCATTATGATTCCGCAGAGCAGCTTGATGCGTCGCAACGTAAACAATGGTTGTAGTCGTGAAATTCTAATTACACAGGTAATTAGAATTTCTGAGCCACAATCCGTTTTACATAACGGAGCCATTAATATGCGGGAGGTAAACTGTAGATTGGTTGTCCAGCAAATTTATCATTCTGTTTGTGAATGAAATGGTTTCTTATGTTTCGTTATTAATACCAACAGCTATTCATTGCGTGGATGGTCTATATAAAAAGGGTGATGGGGAGCTGTAAAATTTTCATATCCATCAAACAAGGCTAGTTTTTTGCAGATCCAGTACACAAGAACAGGACGATTATGTGAATTTCAGCCAAAGCTTTTTACATTTTAAGGACGAATTACAGCAACACTTACTGAATTGCTAACGTTTTTCAAAAAAGCCATGGTAGCTCAATATCAATCACACAAATATGCAGATGGTATCGAAAGTAAAATTTTTACAATGCTCAACATTAATTTGCAAAATGAGACATCAAGTTAATAACGGTAGCTGGACAAAGTATCAAGCCAATTTTCATTAATTGTTAACACTTAGGCAAAATATACTAAGGAATAGCTTCGAATATTTTATTTATGATATAAAAACTCTCAGGCAAGCTAGCTTAAAGTCTTATAGATCACATTCGCTAAATCACGGACTAGACCCAAAATGGTAAACTTCTGAGAAAGCGCAAAATATTTTTTTAATCTTGGGCGACATTAGATGCAAGTGTATATGTACACCAATGTCGTATGGCCAGGTCATGCAGAGAAAAAAAGCGAGTCAGGCAGTTTATAAATAGACGGATCAAGAAATGCCGGCAAGAATTGCACAACGTAGTCAGATTATAGAGGTCAAAAACAGGACCATACGCTTTATGAATTGTGTTATGTGACGAAACCAGGCGAAGTCATTCGAGCGCTATGAATAGATTGATAGTCAAATAGACAGCATGTATTTATCCGAATAACATAGTTAATGTGAACAGATTTTGTAGATAGCTGTAACAAACGAGCATTTATTATTATTATTACATTGTTATTGGAGTTATTGTCTGTTTGAAAAAAATAGTGGATGATTCACGAGTTCTCCTTGCTTCTTATGATAAATACTTGCTTCCCATGACAAATACTGAAACCATCTGCTACAGAGCCTACGTTTCCAAGACTAATTGGCTGTTACCCTAGAATGATACTCATCAGCTCCTGAGTTACTTAACCTCAACCTGTGGTACTGAAGGCAGTAAATAAGCTTACATGAATATGTGTTCTTTCAGCAAAAGGGTACCCCATCTCGTAAGAACATTTTCATAAATAATATTTCGCATTGTAAACGTTGCTTCGTAAGCACCTTTTCCTAATCTGGCTACGTTATAGATTTTGATTCTTATAACAAAGTGCTGTTCAGCTATACAGGATCGAATTTCGGGTGATCCAAATTGTAGCTTGTCCAAACAGGAAGCGTAACAGTGAGCACGCCGTTCTACAAAACAATTTTTTCTTAATCACTTCGCATGTATTTCTTGATTTAGATCTCAGAAACATAGAATACGGTGCGACTGCGTTTCGGCTTATAGAAATAAAAGCAAATTTGGCGAAACTCTGACTATTTTTAAAAATAGTTATATTTTACGTTATTACTAGAACTCTATCAAGACATCAAAAATGATGTTCATTTATGAACAAAGACATATCCAAGGTGTTGCTTTTTTTTAATAAATAATTGAAATGACCGAACGATTTTCTAGAGTTTGGCGGGCGTACCGAAAAAATTTTCGTGTCATTTCGTGCTTTAGCACCATAATCTGATGATTGTGGAAGAGAAGCATAGGAAAATCAAATGGTTGGGTTTACACACACACACACAACTGATAACAAGTATTCAATACCAACCGCCTGTATTCGAAAAGGATTTAGCAGCAATAATAGAATTTGGCTTCGCGAGACCGACGAGGCTAGCGCCAGGCATAGCCAGAGATAAGTCTTGTTGTAAGCTATTCCTGAGGTCTCGACCCATTTTTCCTTTGAAGATTATATTCATCTATCAATATACATACTATTCGCTTTACAGGTTCATCTTGAACACGTTGTGGAAGAACTAATTATTTTCTTTGACAGGGAGCCATATTATGGTTACATTCAAGCATCATGTGTACCTCGTATGTGTGAGATACATGATCACATATCTTCTAATAGAATAATTAGGATTAGGTTAAATATAGCGTGTGTTGTCCGCTCCTATAGTATGTGTCCTAATTCATACCACTTCTAGTAACATTTTACTGCTACTAGCTTCATCGGGTTGTCAAGTAAGCATTGCACCATTTCTATATGCTGCAGAGGGTTAAGTGGCTGATCATTTATCAAAAACCTTCAAACATATCTCTATAGTGAAGCCTGTGGAAAATATTTTCGAACGCGAAAGGGACGCCACTCAATGCCATTGTCGCCTGTCGAGGCATCGTACTCGTACTATGTCTGGGCTAAATACATTCGACTTACAAATACCATCGCAAAATTAAAAGCATTACTACTGTCAACAAACTTGGACTGAAAAAGAAACTGCAGTATTCTGAATCAAATGTTTTATCGCTTAGGTGTGAATAAAATAAAACAAGGGAAGTTTGCTAATCGACAAACAAGTTATATGAGTATCTGCAGAGTCGTAATTGCAAAAAAAGAGGCATGCGCCCATTATAGCAGACTCAGCTCCAATATAGTAAACGTCTGTTTTCACACAATCTAATCAAGACTTGCTAAAAGTGGCTTAGGGAGCAAACGTTCAAATTATATTGAAGGGTGATGTGGCTTGGTGGTAGCTGAGTTTGGGCGTCAACTAATGTATTCTGATAAGCACAAAAATCAAGTATATTAAGGCTTCTCGATCGAGTTGATGAAATATATCCGTATCTTTTGTAGTCCGTAATAATATTCAAATGACAGGTTATCCGTAAATAATACAGCCGCAAGGCAATATTGCTTAATTGCTGAACAATTGCTTAATTCACGAACCGCCGTAGAAGCAGTAAATCATGGATTAAGGCAGCAGTCGACCTTGAGATAATGTTGAAGTGCCACAAGAATTCACGTGCCCTAAAATATTTTTATTTAATAAAGACGTATGCCGATATTAGCAAAATCGTCACAGAGAAATATGCACGTTCAATATCACAGGTGATAGTGACCATCCGATTCGGAAATCCGTTTTCTCCACACTTTTACCACCAGACTGGTACTGGTGACAATTGTGCTTAGCTAAGACATCCCATATTCCAAAAGGCCGTGTGCATGTCTTCCTTAGCATCCCGTATCGTGTTAGACACGGCCCATCCTGAAAGATATGCTGCTTACTTAGGACATTTGTGTAGGTCCCTGTATGTAAGGGTTTCCTTAGAAAAAACCCGCATAAAGTCGTATGCCACTATCTCTTCGCGCGAGAGCGTTATCTCTCTGGAGGAATCGACGAAGTCTGCGTGCTGGAGTTTTAAGTCTGGTATCGCCATTAGGCACTCAATCGGTTGGCCCCGAAACGAAGTGTATCAATGCGCGAGTTAAAACCTAGACCTATGTTATCCAGTAAGTCACCGCGGGGAGTCTATCAGCTGTCTCTTCTCTAGTATCTGTAAGCGCCTAGACAGGACATCCGAACCCGCACCGCCCTTTAACGGGGTTTACTTGATCGATTCCAGTTTTTGGTATCGTCTAGAGAGTACTCAACGGATCGTCTAGCTGATAATTAAATGATAGGGAGCATTCGAACGAAGTAGTCAACGTCGATTTCATTGATATTAAGTGGAAACAGACAAGCTGGTCTACAGAACAAGCGGCTTGAAGGTAAGGGCAACGGTAGAATTACAAGGTTCCCCTTAGTTCATATTTACGTGGCGTCAGTACTCTTGCAGTATTTGGCCAACTGATCAAATCTTTGGTCCACGATGAATCCGTCTCCGCACTAGCGGAACAAAATGAAACTGTGACGGTGAAACAGATTAATGTCACAGATATATTCACATTTTGCAGAGGAAAACACAGGACACCATATTCTTGGTTCTTGGAAATATAAAGTTATTTAAAGTTATTTAAATAAAGAAACATCTTTCAGCGGAAATCCACCTACAAAAGAGCAGTTTTTTTTTTAAAGACTTGATGACAACACGTTTAGGGTAATCCTCAACTCGATGCCATATTAAAGTCTATTCTGCATGCTTCTCTCATTGAATTCTGGATGATATTACACAAACTGCGGTGACCGCTAGCGGTTTCCGCTGGGTTGTCCCCGAATGTGGCCACATCTGAAAAGCTACATGCGATTATTGGCAGTGTAGAATTGTTTTTGACGCTTGAGCTAAGGTGTCCAAGGCATAATGGCGGAAGAAAGCGGATGGTGTGAGTACGCAAGCATTGGACTTGAATTTTTCATGCACATTTATTTGCTCTTACGTTTATCGGGGTACCTCCACTTCAAATAGTTCGCCCGACCCAGGAATATAAAACAGATTCGAATATGCGGTGATATCAATGCTAGATATTCGCTTATTTCAATTACAGTGGAAAGCACAAGGCGTATTAGTAAACAATCTGCTAAAAATATTAAAGGACTTCTTAGAGGTATTCTGTCTAATATGGATACCAACCCGATAGGCCACTACACAGTGGCAAGGCTAATGCCGCTTATTTTCAACGCAACGGGATAATAATAATATGGTAATAATGAAATAACGTCCATGCAACCCAATCTTGACACCCCAGCATTAATAATAATGATCTGATGATGAATAATAATGATTAATAGTAATGATAATAATGATGACAGTGGCGAACATGATTAAGACGCATCTTATTAAATTCATTGCTATGATAAACATAAACGTGTATTCCGGCAACCGCTAGTTCGAATCTCAGCTTTGACAAATGGTGACAACGAATTATTAAAATAAAATTGACTAAGAATGGTAATGACTACAAGTACTGCTAATATGGTTGCTTTGTCGCCTCCTAGGTATATTAGAAAAATCCTCAATAACTTCAGAACATAGTCAAACAAGAGGATTGAGTTAGTTTAAAAGATTTAATATTAAAAATAATAAAAATTATCAATTTCCTCAATCGCCGAGAAATAAAATTAGATAAGATTTTATTTTTGTTTCTTTGTGTTTATTTCATTGACCCTTAACCAACTCTATTGATGTGGATTTATTTTTGAAGAATCTAGGTTTTCAAGAATACTTGTAACTGGTGGAATGAAAAGATACAGTTAGCAAAATTTAATGTTAACTTCTTTGCTTCAATTATACATTTGATTTTAATTAGGTAAGTATTTTAAACTTCATACATATTCAAATGACAAACTGTATGGTAAACATTTAAATAATAACCGGTGAACTTTATATTATACCCTTATTCTTTTCTTTTTATTATTTACTAATATATTGCTATATTTACTGCGAAATATTATTTTAGGGTGCAATTGGTATGGACGGTCCTAAAGGGGAGGCAGGCCAAAAAGGAGAAAAAGGCGATGGAGCAGGGTTTAGTTTCACGGGCGGACAAGGAAACGCCCTGAGTAGCTCTAGCAATGCACTTCCACCAGGTGTTGGTTCCATCACTCCCCAAGATATCATCATGATCAAGGTAATACATACACCAAATTAGGCAAATCGTCAGAATATATGATATAAGCTGAGTAAAATCAAGAGAAACCCTTGTATTGTTTTTGAGATATTGGTTCAGGGGCACACGTACCCTGTACTAAATTGTGCAGGGTAATAAGTTAAAAAAAAAAAAGAGGTGTGCCAACACCTACAGTTCAGACGTTTACCTTGTTCCGAAGAACTATAGCACCCCCAGCAAGTATTGTTACATTGTGTACGCTGTCTAAGAGACGTCTTCATACGGGTTGGAATTTTTTTGTTTTCAGGTTGTTCACATCCGGTCCTAAACCTTTAAAAGCCTTACACGTTGCGCCTTTCTTGATAGGTTTACAATTACAATCCTGTCTAAAAGTCATCCAGCATGGTCTTCCGTTTATGTTCAGAATTTTAAGTCATTTGCCCACCGGCTGTTGTCGCCGACCGGCTGTTGTAATCGGGTCAACGACTAATTAAAAATTTCAAAGCCAAGCTTTCGAGTCTCTTGCCATAATTGCAACCTATATAGTTTTTAAATATAATGTGTGGATGACATAAGAAACAGATCCCGAGCGCCCGATTCTGGTCAGTATTATTAGATTTCTCGCCATGCGAAAATTTCGCTCTTTCATGACAGGAGGTTATTACTGCCTCAAACACAACTCAATTTCAGTCAGTCGACAATGTGGAAATTACCAAGCTTCAGTTCAAGACCAGGTCATGTTTTGTAGACTTTTTGCGATAACTGATTCCAGGTTATCCCTTCTACGACAGATCTCAACTGCTGTTTCAGCATTGCTTCACTGTAAGGGGCTCAATAATAGTAACTTGGGGGGGACCAAGCAGAAAAAGAATTTGTCATGTTCATCACCTTTCCTATTCATCAAACCTTCACTGAAAGTTCACAATGTGTCGGGGTTCGTCCCTAGAGTATTTCTGTGTCTCTTCAGGTAGTAGGGAAACACGATATCGCACTACCATAAGCAAACGGTAAGAAGCGTCTACAATAGTTATGCTAGCGAATACTGACTCTTCATGTTCCCAAATCATAGCGAGAAAATATTTATATATTTTGCATAAAAATGTTATCCGAGTAAAATTTTTACAAACATCTTCGAATGACATAAATCATTTTGATCATGTTGGGCATCAACAATGTGGCGTATAAATGTATCGACGTGAGTGTAGAGGACAGGATAAACGCTTTAAAAAACACATAGAGCACCTATCTTCAGTAACTGAAGAGCTTCAATTTTTATGAGAGATGAGATTTCTCTACATTAATACCTTGGATCCCATCACACATAGTATGGAAACGATTATTCAAAAACCTTACGTGTAGAATTCAAAAGTTGCTCAGTGCTTCGTCACAGAATCATTTAGGAGTACTGGTTTATCGAATAAGTTACAATTTTCCAGTAGATGAACAATCAGTTTTTTTTCAAAAGAGCGTACACAAATTTAATGAATGTATGCTATGATGAGTGTATGTACAGATTTAATTGTTCTTGCAACTCCACAGGTACTCCAATCAAGCAGTCCAGCGTTTAACTTTTCGAATTAAATCTGTAAATAGCATATTTATATTCATAATGCCGATTTATATTGACAAGCAGTAGCAAAACAGGTGTTGTACTGAGAAGTCACACCGACTAAAAAATTTATTTTTTTGGGAAAAAATATTAATGATAATTTTTTTCCGAAAAAATATGTAGTGCAAAAAGGGACTGTACAATATTTTTAAGGCGAAAATTTAAGAAGTTAACAAGGCTAGAGTTATCGATTCCCTCGCGAGGGCGTGTTACTTCGAGATTAGTGGATAATTTAGAGCTCATTGCTTCCAATCGATACTTATCGTTATTATTGCAGGGTTCACAAGGAGAAACTGGGCCGCCAGGACCGCCCGGTCCACCGGGACCTCCAGGACTACCTGGATTCGACGGAGGCACCGGACCACCTGGACCTACTGTACGTAAATTGGAAAAAGAGATGCAACTATATGTTTTTTCCAGTTATTAAACCTTGATTAATATACATTGTGGTACGTACGACCTATCTGAGGCAGGTTTTAAGATCCCACAAAACAGAATGCTTGCCCAATGAGTCCTGACTTCCCATAATTTTTTCTATTCCTAGGGACCGCCAGGAGAGCCAGGACCACCTGGACCATCTGGAGACCGAGTAAGTATACTGAGTACTTTATTTTACCTAACTAGTTGTGTTAGCCTAATTCACAGTTTATTAGGAAGCTTACACCAGGCGTTGTTTTACGGAGTCTTTAATTATATCCGTTTAAAGTTATTATATAATTTTAAAGGTTACGCGAGTTTATGCTACCATACCTAATATATTATATTAATATATATACCTAATATTCCCCGCGTGGCAGGCGAGTATTCTATTTTACACATTTTAACACATTACTTAGGGCTATATTTGCAAAATATTGGGCCTCCCTAACACTAAAGAATAGTTACTTTCGGTTCCAATAAACAACCGTAGATCTGCACGATATATTGCAATACTTATATATTTATCTTCTATAATTAATTTCGATAATTCTAATATACACGTTCATAAACGAACTGCACAGTCTACTGCATACGCAATTACCTACTTAAGTTCAAAATCTACAAGAAGTTTTCGATTCAGTCGTTCGAGGCACGGGCTACCGATATTGTGAATCATTCTTTGGCTTGGAACCTAGCTTCCTGTGTATATGGATAGAGTCATTTCAAATGTATGATATTACTCCCTTTATGACAAAAACACCGTTCGTTTTATATTATATAATTGACTTATACAAACATGTAATATCTGTGGGAACTATTTATGCCAAACCGGCAAATAACCAACATCCTCTATACAAACTGCAGAAAAATTTTTTTCAGGCAGCTCTTAGAGAAAACTCTTCTCATCCCATTTCCGTGCTCGAATCTCAAAACACAAAAAAAAACACCTTGAGTAGAAAACCATTCAGAATCGTTTTTTGTAATTTTAACAAAGGGTATGACCATTGCTGAAAAACCACCCTTCCCGATTTTGGTTTTGTCGTCCTCAATAATCAATGATACCAACAAAAACAGCATTCTGGAAGTAGAATCTGCGGTCAGCAAAGCTATAATGCATTTTCCAGAGTCACGTTAAATCCTTTATCCCTACGTTATATTCGTAACTTGATCTCGAAGAACAGAAAATTAGAAACAAACTTCAATTTGAATGCAGTAGATATTGAGGGTACATAACCAAGGAAGAGATGATATAATAGATAATATATACTTGCTGAGAGCCAGGAAGTTGAAGGGGAAGTTTGCCAGATGCAATTGTAAAGCATCATTAGGCTGCGTTCAAGCCCCTGGTACAACTCTATTACCTTATAGTAGTGTTAAATAAAAATCTAGGCTGGTTTGAATGAAGCTTAAAAGCAGGCACAACATTGATAGGCAACCATTTCGAAGGCCAAGTTTTACCGTTAATTTCGTCCGCTGATGGAGTTTGGATGGAGATGCATCATTCCACTTTATCTACGTATACATAAAGCATTAAATTGGCGGCCCACTGAAAAGCTCTTGGTACAACTTTACTGTTTTTTTTTCAAAACTAAAACGCAAATACCAATTCTGGGTACGTTACCAAAACAAAACAAGAAAGTTAAAAAGACACACTTACTATCTAAAATAAACAACGCACTGGACAGCTTAACTGCAATCTTGCATACAAGTGTTTCCAATGCGTTTTGAAAAGAAAAATTATCAAAAAAATATAATTTATTGCGCCCGCAGAACTATTTATAAACAATTGTATTTGCATAGTTCCTTTGCAACACGCCCCTAGCATCTAAGAGAATGATGGACAGTAGTGAACCCAGTGACTCTTCTGTTTGGCAATATTTCCGCATACAGTGAGAAACTATTAAAACATAACCATCAGCTACAGGACGTACTAACGTGACTGCATAGAGCTGTCCTAGTACTGAACGTAACAGAATGTTATTTTGGAACCACCAGCTACACGTCTTGAACAGTTAAGTCTTTAAAATTTCATACTTAGTGCGATGCTCTGCTTTTCGGTCACTTAAATAGCTAACGATAATACGTTGGACGTATGAAGATATCCTCTTTCTTTCCGATATGTACATAATCACTAATTGAGTTAAAGACATTTGTAACGCCCAGAAGAACGGCCAAACAGAGATTCTTGGTTTTTGGCGTCTTCTTTCATTTCCTTTAGTCGAAACCCAATACTCATTACTAGTGAAGTAAGTCGACCATTTTTTCTAAAATCCGAAGTAGTTTTCTAGAAGCAACCCTTTGTTTTCTATTTTGCTGGTTACTTACATCACGGTAAGGGTTGATCCCAGTCGTCCAATTAGCTTTGGTATGGATGCCAACTTAGCCTCTTTCTATTTTTTCGGGAACTGATTTAGTCACAGAATTCTAGATATGTTTAGCCTGCGAATAACGCTACCCATCATAGTGGACAAATGCACGACCCTCAGCTCACACTGGCTGACTTTGCATATGGTCCGGTTTCCGCTATAAATGGTCGCTTTCATTTGACCCCTGCACTTTTTGCAAGAGTTGTGAAGCCGGCAGCGAGGTTGCACTTATAAACCCAATGTGATACCAATTGTGGTGACGACGCACTATTAGCGGTACCAATTTTTATTTATCCGCACGACACATCGTTCTAGCATTATACATAATAGTAGTAAGCCTTATAAAGTTTATAAATTCAGCCGTCACCTGGATCATGACGCCCTTGCGAGCCGCGCATGAAATAACAAAACCCATAATCGCAAGCCTGGTTATAATGATTGCGTTTGTTAAGCACCTCTTTTCCGTCGGTCATTGTGTAGGCTAGAAGAAACTGCAATTCAAATTGTTTCGAGTTCTACAACTTTAGTCAGAAGAACGGGGATTAATTTTTGGTATGTTCTATTCTTTCAAAGAATATCCAAATAATAGTTTTAAATACGAACCAAATACCATTAAGACATGGCTATGAAGGAGAACCAAGTGTTAAGTGTCATTGACGGAGTTGTAGCCCCTGCTTTTCCATCAAACTGGACAGTCTAGCTTTGTACATTCTGCTCTCTTTCCTTATTAATCCTGCAAGTCGTGCCTTTTTTATTCTGTATTTCTCTAAAAATCTTTTCTCACAAAAATCTTCCTCATTTTTCATAGCTTCCTAAATCCGCATATAAACTGTGCCACTTATCGTGGTTCCGCGGTAATTGTTTTCCTCGCTTTGTCATTGATTTTACTGTTTAGAGCTGGGTGTAAAACCGCACAAATGGCTAATTTATATATAGGGATCATACTCCTACGTAGATGAAATCCTAAGTAGATGAAATTGAGAAAATGAAGGCGATCAGTGGCGTGAGTACAAAACAACTCGGGTTACGCTATATCTGATTCTTGTCTTTTTTAAAAAACGAAAGGTTTGCGTTTTGGTGCCTTTTCGTAAATTTAATCTTTTTCTCTTTTTTTTAAAAGTCATTTAATACGTGCTAGAAGATTAAACGATCATGCGCGGTGTTCGGTAAACATATATTTGATAAATGTCTACAAAGGTCTTCACTAATCTTGAGAGTAAGAGTATAGATTAGTCAGTGCGAAATGCACATATATAAAAGAATTTTCAAGTACAAAGATACCCTGCTAACGCTTTTTAAATATTAGCCATCTTGAATTAATAATAATAATACAATAATAATTATATTGGAAAATTTGGTAGCTCGAAAATACACAGATTCATATATGCCCTGTAACATATATATATATATATATATATATAAAAGGCCCCGTGCGTTTGTTTTCGCTTCTTTCTGGACCAACCTACTAGATCTATGCATTTACGCTCAAATATTCACTCAATGAGTATTTTAATCAAACGTTGTAAATCTCCACCATTAAAATTAATGGTAGCGATTTCACAAATACATCTAGATATCACATTCACTTGAGTTAATTTTCAGGGCCCTCTTGGAGACACGGGACTGCCTGGACCCAAAGTGAGTAAAAATGAAAATCAATACATTCATGATTAGCTATGATCGGATTTTTTTAAATATATTCAGTATTAGAAGGGTGAGCTTATAAATAAATTGATACTATCGCCATTAATATTGCTAGATCAATTAGAAAATAGTTTTAGAAGAAAGCTTGAAACTCTGCAGTATAAATATATTACTATCTATGTGTTTATGTTAGCTCAAGTCTGTTATTATAATGATGTTTAACGCTTATAACAGCTACTCTGTGTTCTGCTAGCTAAACAGTGGTATCGAAACTCGCATGTAGCTATACAATACGCGGGTACTGTGTAGAGATTGTTGTGCCTTTTTCCTGCTCTAGCTAACATACGGTGTAAGGACCTGTGACGGAAAATCTTTTTGCGCCCTTGTCTCTTTCCCAGACAACATATTTGGTTGACAGAGATACCCGTTAATATATATAATAATAATGGAAATAGTAGATTCGATTGGTAAATGTTTATACTCATAACATTATATAATATTGTAATAAGGATAACGGTAGATAAAATTGTTTAACAACAGTTCTGCTAGACTTTGTGATCCGTTTCAGATTTGAACAGATTTGAAGAATTAATTAAAACCTGTTTGTTAAGAGATTTCGTCCAAATGCTTGTGCGGCATTTGTTTGTCATCTGATTCAAAATATATTGGCTTTCCACCAAAGTCTTCTGTTTGTTCACTATTTTTTCATATTATGTCATACTGCAATTTCTTGGGCAACACACTTTTTAATCTTACAAAAGAATACTTTTCACACTATATCTGGAATACCTTGAATATCCTCAGTTAATCTCCGAACTGCGAAATTAAATTTACAAGATGGGAGTTCCTGACCTACCCTTCTAGGTCTAGAGCTAACCAAGTACTACCATGCCCTGATTAAATATATCAACTACGAAGTTGTTATCAGTTATTATCAGTTACTCCTTATATAGAATTCTCTTTCTTTCTTAAAATATTTTCGTAAGAAGTATGACATAGATGTGGCCAACAATCTCTATCTGGTTACCTAACAATGTGTCTGTTTTGCCTTTTTCTATTGTCGAAGCCAAGAATACGTTGCAATAAATGTATATGAAATCTACGGGTGCACTATACATATAGTTGTATACGCAGCGCCCAAGTGTATTCATGAACGCACGTAAAAGTTAGATGAAGCTGTTTTCCAATCTTAAATTGTATCCGACTACAAGCATATGTTAAGATACAGTTTATTACCTTGGTGAGTGCAAGTTACTGGTTGCTATGTACTGTCCTCCAGCAGGTATGTTTCTGCGCTCGATACAGAGGGCAAACCTTTGGGAAAACCTATTTTAAGCACTGTCGTGAAGCATCGTGACGTCATATTCTTTGTGGGAGATCTTGCAGAGACTCATCGAAAACCTCCGCCAAGGTTTCGAAGCCAAAGGCATAATTATATATTTGCTTTTAGGGCTAACATCTTTAGCTATACATGTGGCTTCATAAGTAGTTTTTCAATAACGAATGTACTTTTTGTGTGTGTGATAATGACGTTCATACGAGAGACATGCTCAAAAAAAAATTATGGAAGCATGTATTGCTGTACAACACATATTTAAAAAGCGATTGTCAAAAATGTACGGTCAAAAGGACTCTTGTATACAAACAAATCAGAATATTTAACAAATGTCTTGGTATACCTAGTAATGCTTTCTAAAATGAAGCAACAAGCTCTGGCATTGACCTAAATTGGGTAACTAAATAATTTATTTCCCTGGTTTGTGTAGACGTGAAATATTTTATAAGTCTTTTCAACTACTGGCATTGTTGGTATTTTTTTATACAAAGACTAGTCATTGTGGGAATATGTTTATCCAGGCTAACTGTAAATGTCAGTCTTTTGACATAATAGAGTAAACGCGGAATGCCACTGAAAGTTCCGCCACTTTCCCTATAAATAAAACCACAAAGCTCTTTTAGCTCTTATGATGCGACTTAGCAGGGTTGCTGCTCGTTCCCAAAGAAAAATACACAAATTTAGAACTGAAGTATATTGAAAAGTATGCCTACCATTATAGACGAGAAGGCCTCAAGGCGAAAGTAGTAATGATGGTCTATGGCTTATATGTTATTTGCCATCTTCTTCTGAAGCACCAAAGACGAACGAATGAAGTCGTCGAAAACCTGCTAAGCAGGCCAGTCTATAATCTCTCCTTGCGCACTTGTGTACAATAGACCCAGCCCGTTCTGGATTCGCTTCGTTCTAGCCATTGTAAAGGTATTACAGGAGGAAAACATAAACTAAAGTATTTGAGGTGTGAATTGATGACATGAAGTTTAACAAATTCTAATAAGCGGTTTCTGACTTCCGGAACTCTCGTAGCAAGGGAAAATTATAACATTAGTTTAAAAGTGAAGACTGAAATCCTTGTAACCTTTGCTGCAAGATCCCTGAAAATATCACCGATATCACAAAATAGTTTAAGGTTTTTAGGAAAACGAGGATGATAGCATCTTATGCTTAATACATCCTATTCATTTTTAGAGTGCCCAGTCCTGTTTTATGAAGTAGTAGCAACAGTAGTGGCACACAGGTCATCTAGTACGCGCGAATCTGAACAATTTTTGAATCATCTCTTTTTACCGATCGTTTCGTCCGATCATCGTAAAAATACCTCAGAGTTTTATCGGTCTAGTTTGACTTGTTTACGACATTAAAAGTGAAACACCTCGACTTCCCCGTTTGCATTCATAAAAAAAATGCCGGATGTTAAGGAACCCGACAATGGTTTTATAGCGAACCTGAAATTGCTGAACCTAACGGGGTACCGTGCAGTGGTCTAACTGCATTGTTTCTGCTCTGATGTGGTTATAATAAATTTGTCTGCTAACCGGAACGATACGTAGATAGGCCCATATCACTACCTTGATAAAGATTTAAGCAATAAAAAAAGCAATGGACATGGTAACTATTTGCTTTGTTAGGTCTCTCCATATGGCTCATTTTAAGGCTTTTACTCTAACAGGTCCTTCAAGCAAGGCTAGATAGTAGTACTGAGGGTAATCGAAAAAGGGACAACTATAAAAAACCTTTTTTGATGTTGTTGTTTACTTGTGTGACGTTGTTGTAGCATTTAATCGCTTCACAAACGTAAAGTTATCAAAACTAGGTAACCTAGGTAACTAGGTAACTAGGATAATAAATCGATTTATGTGACTACGAAGCTTAATAATACAAATGCAAGAGTGATAGCTGACGTTGTATCAATAGCACGTATCTAAACCATTTCAGGTACACACCCAAAATATGAAGTGGCATTTATGGACTATCAATAATAGCAGCATTTAAAATAATTATGCTTTTCAGGGAGACAAAGGTGATAAGGGTGATAGAGGACTGACGACAACGCTAGACGGGAACACTTTTCCGACAGGATTTATCGAAGGTCCCGCCGGACCGCCGGGACCGCCGGGTCCTGCTGGTCCCCCGGGGCGGAAGGTATATTTATATTTTATACATAATGGGCTGAAAATTCCAATGCGATTCGTTATAATTAGTATTGCCTTATTCCTTAAGGCTTGTGCGTTCTTAAATCAAACACCTGCTCAATTGCGATTGTACAATAATAATGATAGTTATTATAATAATTCAGTTTATTCGTATATTTTCATGTATAAGACCACTGTGTTTTTTTGTTTTTTTTTTGAAATTGGTATGACATACATGCCTAACGGTAAATAAAACGGTGTCGTGTTCAAAAGAAAATCCAATATTTTCTGTAAATAATAGGGTTCATTACCATTGAGATATTGTAATACAGCATGCCGGTATTAGTGTAATAACCGTTTTACCCCTCAGTCGACATTTTTTAGTCTGTGCATTTTTATGCAGGTTCGCGGCTCCTAGAAAATGTAAAGCAATCTAATTTGACAAACAACGAAGCTTTTAATCAGTTTTAATTCGCGTGACGACATTATGTTTCGTTCAACTAATACCTTTCCCGATATTTCTCGACCATGAAGTGTCTTTGCCAAATTTGAAAAAAATCGATGTGACCGAATATGATGCATCCATCTTATTCACTTTCAATACGCTAGGCATTGCATTAAGCTACCCTTTATAAAATAATGAGTTTCAGCGTAGTCAACTTTTTCCGTATTTTAGGGTGATCAAGGTGTGCAAGGTCCACCTGGTTTTGACGGGCTCAAAGGCGACAAAGGTGAACGAGGCATGCGAGGAAAAAGAGTGAGTGTAGGCATACACAATGCACGTACAACATATGTGTTCTATGTGAAATGTTGTCAAATCTTTGCTTGCAAAAGATTATAGAAACTGCAATTATTATTATTAGCGATTAGTCCAATAAATTCCTGGGCTAATTGCTAATTGAAACAAGCACCACTTATTTTTATAAACATACAAAAAATTAGAGCAGACAAAAGTTAGCTCTAAGAGGACAAGCCTTTCACTTCTGGTATCAGTATATAGAGCGTCGACATTTTGAGCTTAAGTCTACCTTTTGTCTTCGCATCATCAAAAATAACTTTTGTAGCACTTGAATGTTAACGAATTACTGTGATATGCAATGATATCATAATTTTATTTAATTGTAGAAGAAAAATAAAACCTTTAGCGTTAATAATCTTTAATAATAACGTGCTTTGAATGTATTACGTAGCACATTCATTTAAATCTGCCCTAATTGTTTCACTTGTTCACTTTGCCTTTTGGGCTTCAGTATCTTTTTCGTGCCTTGATTTACAAGATTATCCATGGTATCTCTATGGCTCATCAGTATGTAAGCATACAGTTCAAAATACATTTTAGTTTTTTTGCCTTGATTTCTGATCCTTTTGATTTCTTTCCGTTTTGTTGTCTTGCAATAATCTTTCTACCTTTTCCCTTTTATTTCTGACCTTACTTTGGACAGTTTTCTTGTATTTCAATTTACAAGTATGGTAGTAAAGATTCCTTAAATTTTTAGGCTGGTAATTGCCTTTCTAATGATCTTACATTTTGTTCGCTTATAGAAACACCTTAGGTCTAGTCGGAGATTTTAACAGTGTACACGCTAACCCGGATGTTAATAGTAGCAAATTTACCAATACATACAATATACCTAAGACAACCTATAATAATAGCCATTCTTATTAACCAAAAAGTACTACGTCGCAAAAATTAATAGTTCGAGCGTAATCAAAGAAACGAACAGGAGAAAAATGACGATAGTTCTACCCTAGAGAAAACGATTGTGCTAAATAGGCCGCTTAAATAAGAAAAACACCAACAGATTGAGACAGTAATTGAGTTTGAAATCAGCACGCTGATCATCATTATACAGCAGATATTAGGCACCTCTCATATGACGGAGTAGAGAGTAGATGTACTGATGATGATTCTGAACGAAAAGTTATATGACAAAAAAAAATTGAGTAATTTGACTATTCGGACTCGTAAGCTACCTCAATAAAACGTGTGGGGGAATTTTACGAAAACCACTAAATTGTAGATTTACATACTGGTAATAAACTGAAAGGCAGGAGAAAGCTTAATCTAGTTAACTAGGTAACATGCGAATTTGAGTCTGAGGTGATTTCGGGCAACACCCGCATACCAATTTTGCGTAGGAGTTGATTCCAGTAGTTTTCTTTCGGCACTCAGATATGTAGGACTGTGTTATTGAAGGCTACTTCAGTGATGCACATCACACAGTTGTGTGAGTACAGGTATACTAGGAGAAACGATGTAAATACACAGTTGTGTGAGTACAGGTATACTAGGAGAAACGATGTAAATATAAGTTAATTATCTTATATTTAGATCGTTTCTGCTAAACGTTAAATATACACTAAATATACTCCAATATACTCCTATACTACATATAAGTTAATTAAATATCGATCTAAATATAAGATAATTAAATTTTTAATTAATCGTAAATATTGTATAGTATGCGTCATTAGCGGGGCTCGAACTAGCGACCCTTGGCTTCTTCAGCCAGAGGTTCACCCGTCTAAGCCATCATGCCACCTTATTAAAATTCCTTATTAAAAAATAGTACAGATTCTCCGTGTGTTAGAAAAGATCAGGTTAATGCGGAGGAACTGCATGTTGACTTTAACTATTTAGAAAATTCTTCTCCACAAGATCATACTTGAAGATAGACAAACGTTTTCGCTGGCTTAGATTGATAGTGCATCTAATGTCTTTTTTTTATTTCAGGGACCACCCGGGCTCGACGGAATGAAGGTAGCACCCTACGCCCAGAATAAACATGTTCATGCTTGATGTAACATTTGCCTACTACACACGACGTACTTTCTGAAACTGAATGATAACCGAAACTGAATGATAACCAAAACTATAAACGACTTTAGATTACACCATTATACGAAAATCCCCCTGCTGCAAGCATATTTTTAAATCATAGAGAGAATAGGCGAATTTGCTTTCGTCTTCATTTAATTTTGTAGTACAAGAAATAACACGGCAGCTTGACGAGTAACGACTGAAGAGGAAATTTAGGTTTTACAAATCCCCTGAAATAGCCCTTAAATGGCATATTGTAGCTATGGTTTAACATACGCGCTATGTCTCTAGTCGGATTGCAGTGTGAATAGCTGCATATGTTCGTTGCAATATTACGAGCAAAATGTACCAAAAATACTCGAAATCCTATTTCAGCAAGCCTCTGATATCGAGCAAAAAGAACTCATAGCTTCAAGATGAGGATACGGTTTTTTGAAATACAATCGTGAAGCTTGAGCATCGAATATCAGTTAACTCATCCTGCAAAGCCGTGTATATCTGGTAAAAGTTTATCAAAAATATGGGTAATATTTAAAAAGCAAAGCCATGAAGTGAGTTGTGCACTACACCTGTAAATGAAAACGCGACACCAGAATGTCACCTTCTTATATAACTCCTTCGGGGAAAACTTGATCTCAATGAAGCGCGAAGTGAAGGAGGTGTCGAAAGTGTTTTCATTCGGGACGTTCATATCTGGGTCCGTGTTTCGGTTAAGTCTTATATCTAAACACAAAGAAAATAAAGAAAATCAAGAGATTTAGAATGTGTAGCTAAATTAAAAATGTAACAGAATAAAAAAGGAAAAGTGTTCGAAAAAAGCGTGCCAAAGGCTACCGTTCATCCCGACGTTTTTCAGAATTAGACGTACAAATCGCATATCTATTATCGCATGTTATTTTCGCGGTATTACTCATTTTGGACGAGTACTTGTCTACGTAATGTATCCTCAGAGTGGTTCTCACGCACTCAGCCTTAAAGGTAGTTTACGTCAACTAGTGTTTTTAGTGCGGAAAAAATTAATTCATTCATATAAAGCAATTCATTTTCTTTATTTCAGCCATTAAACCCTTTGAAATATAAATACGTGTCGATAAACAACGTAAGCACGTAACAACTATTAAGGCAATGCTGATGCTTCCATCCATGCTTTGCGATTAATATAATCAATAACCTGTATACAACTGCTATGATTCGATTTGTCTATGCGTGACTTCTGATATCTGTGTATACGATCACAACATAGAAAAAATTAAAAAATTTGAAAAGCATAGCTTAACAATAATGGTTTCCATTTGACTTTATAAGGTTTTCAGAGTGCATGATTTTGTTTGAACTGGGCAAGAGCGTGCTTTCTTACTTTTTTATTCCTATTTCTTATACATTAGGTTCGGTTTTCTCAGATTATTACTTAAGTTCGTTAACTGAAAGGTGAGGAAGTCTCTTTATCAATCTCTATTTCTTTAGATTTAGAGGAGTCAAATTCTACCTTGAACAGAATTGAGCTATTTGATAAATGGTGCACAGATGAACATTACGACGGCAAGCTTTTTATTATAAAAGCTTCGGACGAAGTTTTCAAAATTAAAATATTAGTATATAACAATTTGCATTTCTTATTGCATTATAAAATTGAACGCGGTGCAATCGGGTGAGGACGATGGTATATAACCCTCCGTAAGGATATGAAATTTGACGATGCCATCGGTTATGATTTATCATCTAATACATTTTGTAGCACCTAGAAGAATAATTGCACAAAACTTGACCAATAGGTTGTACAGCCTTTCAGAGAACCGTGGCTATTGCCAACCAACTATTGTTTAGAACTCAAATTATCCGGCAAAATCGGGTAACTGAAAATGGGATATTTACAGATCCATTTGCTGGTCAGACATTATGTTAACGTTCTCTAACCATTGAGGAATCCCCCAAGAGAAGCGATAAGAACATATTGTAGCAACATGTTTTATAATCGTCTACCTGAAGAAGTTCCTAGAAGCATTACTGTTCCTACAAAAACGATGCCAGGAAAACATTTTACTATGATTTTAGAATTTGCGATTTCAGAGGCGGAAACTCGTCCAGTGTGGAAAGAAGTCTTCCTCAAGGGCTTAGTTCATACAAGGTTAAAGCCAAAATGTGTCTAAGCACAGCTTTGCCGTACCCGCTGATATCTTAGGTACATGGAAGGTCCATACAGCATCTAAGGTCCGTAACGCCAGCGGCCCGCTACGACAAGTCTCGACAGTGCAGACAGCCGGGCTGCCTACAACTGCACAGAGCTTCTGTCAGCATCGTAAGAATGTGAAGAAAAATAACCTCTGCTTGAGACCTTCAAAAAAGATCCTAAGATATCTTCATATCTACGATGGAATTGCCGCTATTACTGAAGGTCGAACACATCTTGAACTATGTCCTGGTCGTGCTGAAAACACAGGTTACGCCCAGGAACACTTGCACCAAACCTCGTTGAAAATCAGTTTCAAATTGTCCTGCTCAAAAGAAACCGGACCTTGTCTATCCAAACAGCAAAGTCGTACTGTTTTACAATCATAGAGTTAAAAACCGTACCGCGTGCCTTGTGGAACACAATGTTATTATTTGCGCATTTCAAGGATTTTTATGGCGGTGTATATGCCACCAAGTAACAAATAGTGCTGCTAAAAAACCGTGAAGCTCCTATTTTTTGAAGGCCTACAGGTCCTGGTTGACTTTTCCTGTCATTGGCAGGAAATTTATAATTATATTATAATTAACGCAGACGAAGATAAAATACGTCAGAGATAATCGTTTATTCTACTAGGGAGAACAACTCCAGGAACACATTTTTATTGGATTAGACCTCAAGGTGGTCATGGCATCATTGCTGTGAAGAAAATCGTTACTCCGTGAAAAAAACTACAGTGAAACTCCTAAAACGGATTAATGACTTATGAGGTTTTTTCAGTGCCATGCTTGACTGATGGCAAGGCTTGTGCGCATCGGCATCCTGTACTCTTCAGTTTATGCAGCCCGTCGAAAAATGTCGGCTCGTTTAAAATCACCATCTTGCACGCCGTGCCAACAATTACTTTTGCTGTACTCGCAGCGCCAGCTGACAAACAACTGGCGGGCGTGAACTACCAAGTAAAGAATTCTATGCCCTCCAAAAGATTTAGGTACTTGGTAACCCGTAACTAATAAATGTGGAATAAACACAATTAGACCATTCTACAGCTGGCGCAGTGTTAAACTGTCTTGTTAAACAAACGTCTTTTTTCCAGATTGCTTTTCCTTTAATGGAGGGATGCAATAATTATTGTCATTCCTAAATCCAGTCGTCGCGGCATGGTATGGAAAAGAAGAACCGTTGTTCCGAAATTTTCTTATATGTGCTGATAAAAACACCAAATGCGCTTGTGCAAAGTTTGAGTGCATTACCCAAGGAATAACACGGTATCTAGATGAATCATACGACTATAGTAGCATGTAGAATCCTATTCGCTAACGTCAGAGAAACGTTAAGGATTACCTACCAATTTACCTTTCCAGTATTCGTAGATTTCAAGGGAGCCTCTAACTCTTGTAAGAACACGCCTCCTAAATGCCATATTAACAGCGTCACGAATAGCTGGACCCGCAAACGGTGGATTCGCGTAGATAAAATTTCGAAAGAATCCAGGGTTTTTAACTGCTGCCCCTACAACCACTGGAACTGCATGTGCAATAGCGCTTCCTAATCCTGGTTTTCCTAACGGTCGATAACGTCTTTTAAGTAATGGTTCTTCCATGTAAGCACTGCCGATATATTTCGCAGTACGCGTCCTTGGCTGCACCAATAACAATCCTTTTACGTACTTGTAATTTAATCTTTGTTATATGTAACTTCCTGTTAACGGTCACTGGGTTTCCTATTCCACATACAAGATCTCCTTTAAGTCTCTTGAGTTCTAAGCTAAGTGTTTTGATAAAATAATCTTGTTTAAGCATGCCACGTATGATATCGTCAAGAGTATACGCGCTATTGCTGACGTAATCCATGTCTACTTGTTTAGGCAAAGCGTCCACTTATATAGTGGATATCTCTCCAGTAGGGGAGAGGGCAATTGGAGGTGACGTCATTCCTGTAGGGACCTGCTATATTAACCACAGAAGTCTCTCGGGGTAATACTGTACCCGAGAGACTTTGTGCGCCCAAACACGAAAATGGCTGCCCGACAACTACGATTTAGAAGAGCCGCGTGGACATTGAATAACTATACTGAAGAAGAACTGAAAAATATTAAAGAAAATGTAACCCAATTCAGATATATCATTTGGGGTTACGAGATAGCTCCTAACACCGGAACAAAACACCTCCAGGGATACGCTGCAACAGAGAAACCTTCTACGTTGGACCGATTCAAAACTCTACTCAGTGATCGTGCTCACATTGAAATAGCAAAAGCTTCTGAAGAAAAGAACAGAGAATACTGTATTAAATCTGGCCATTTCGAAGAGTTTGGGCGTATAAACTCTCAGGGTCAGCGAAATGACCTATATAATGTGGTGGATACATTGTTAGACAATAAAGACGATCCCATTGGTGCTGTTGCTGAATCGCACCCTGTGGCATTTATAAAATTTCATCGTGGAATCAAAGATTTAGCAACTACCTTGAAACTAGGTGCTAAACGTAATCATCGAACGAAATTATGTATCGTTTACGGATATCCTGGCACTGGAAAAAGCTTTGGAGTACGCCAAAAAATCACAAATTTGGCGAAAATCACAAACCCAGTGACCGTTAACAGGAAGTTACATATAACAAAGATTAAATTACAAGTACGTAAAAGGATTGTTATTGGTGCAGCCAAGGACGCGTACTGCGAAATATATCGGCAGTACTTACATGGAAGAACCATTACTTAAAAGACGTTATCGACCGTTAGGAAAACCAGGATTAGGAAGCGCTATTGCACATGCAGTTCCAGTGGTTGTAGGGGCAGCAGTTAAAAACCCTGGATTCTTTCGAAATTTTATCTACGCGAATCCGCCGTTTGCGGGTCCAGCTATTCGTGACGCTGTTAATATGGCATTTAGGAGGCGTGTTCTTACAAGAACTAGGACTAAGCAGCGTAAACGTAGACAGGGTCGCCGTTATGCTCGTAAGAGGTGTTATGCGCTTAGGAGGCGTTATAGGCGTGTTCGGGCAGAAATATTTACGAGAGTTATTAAGGACTATGATGGATCAGTTGGAGGAACACCAGCTAGTGGCCTAATTAACACGCTTAGTCCTCTAGGAGGAGTAATGAAGATTCTACCCAGTAGTAAACTTTTTAATCTCCCCGAAAACTTTAGGAATTTTACACATTATAAAATATTAAAATATATTGTAAAATTAATTCCCGAAGAACACGCCCCATTCACTGCGTCAGAGGTAGCTCCAGAATACCGGTATTTCCACTAACATACACTAACACAGACCCATACGTAAGATTAACGTTTCCTTCAACTATGACTAACGAGGATTAACGATTCAGTTATATACGGGACCAGTTTCATCTCTCTGCAACAGGCCTTAGCCAGATTGGGGTCCACCGTTTATGAATTGAGTCTGACCGTGTGGTTTATCAAGACGGTGGGAACGGAATTCCTGCGCAAATGGTAGAGTTGTGACAGCCCCTCGCTACCACTTCAATTTAGTCTAAAGCAACGATGCCAATTCGATTTTGTACGCTTATTGTTTTACGTGGGCTTTGAATATCTGTAGCATGTTCCTTGTTAAGGGACCACTGGCCATAGTGTGGATCGAATCGGTACAATGCCAGGTGCTGCCTTATCGTGTTGTGCACTACGGGTACATCTAGTCAATGCTTCAACATGTTGGTCCATTAATAGCTACCCAGATAGTTTTAACGATTATTTTCATAGGCTACCTTAAAAGCTTTATATCTTAGTGTTGTAGGTAACAACAGCGCTCGTATTTTTCTTAACATTACCTCATGAACTTTACCTAGTTCATGAGTAATTGATGAGTTCTCATGTTTCCTAATTACCGATGTTTTTTATCGTAACCATTTTTTTTCAAGCTCCAGCTCATCACCTGTTGCACTTTTACTCCCGCTAAATGGTTTCACTGTTGCCGTCAGTGACATTATAATAAATTCCCCGCACTCTTGGGTAATACACTAATAATTTTTGGCATAATTTATAGGACATAACCAGTAACGTAGAAAACAACATACCGCACGGTATCACATCTCAGTTGAATAAGTTACAGGCTTTCAAACAAGCCGATGTTTCTTTTTTTTCCATAGAATAATATTTTTGTATAGTACCTAATGCGCCTGAAGCTTACGCCATTGGCAGTTCTCTTATTGAATTCGTAGTAATATCGCTACCAGCCTCGTGTTTGAAGCGTCTGCGAGTAAAGAGCATTTGTGTCAAATACAGGGAAAGAACATATTCATTAACCTTTTGTTTTATAATCCGGAATCCATTTGATTGCTCAGGATCTCATTTAAATGTCATGTCTGATTTCAGAAAATTTTTTCCGCAGATCCACTGTGTCGGGGAATCCTGCTATGTATCTGATATATAAAACAGCAATATCGAATACTCAATCTTTTTAATGTTATTTCATTATATTAATTCTTTAACACCTTTCACATTATCCTCACATGCTCATATTTGCTTGGAGCCAGTAATCAATACAAAGGAAGTGTTCTTGGAACTCCTAATACACATGTTTAGCTAAATGTTATCCCTGACATCCATCCGTCATAAAAATACGGTTGGTGATGCCGCTAGTCTAAAATGGACCTCTTATATCCAAAAAAATCACGAATGTTCCATCAATTCTGTCTATATATATATATATATATATATATAGTTTAGTTTATAATTTAGTTTTAGTTAACACAGGCAGAGTCAAGACAGAATTAACCAATAACCAACAGACAGAGTTTTATTTAACTCTTTTTTTTAATTGTACCAGCAAGTCTTCTAAATAGGAAAATGGAGACGCGTAAGGAATGATAACTTACTAATCTGCTTTAAATTTACGAAGTCCTTTTCCCATTCCTCTTTCCTATTACTGTAAAAGTTGCTAACCATTAAGAAACGTGGATTTTTTAATAATGCACTGACCTTTTAACCTTTTCCGAGTTATTAGAAGTCATTTCTTTATCTTGCCTCCCTCTTGCGCTACTTTCAGTTTGTCTTAATGTGTGTTGACACCTTACAGTGTTTCCCTTTCTTCCAACAAAATCTCTTAAAATTTAAGACAAATCTTTAAAAAGATTTTAATCTATTATTCCGATTTTGCTTACTAATTTAATCGAACATCGTCATAATATTTTCGTTTTCGCTGTTTTATTTGGTTTATACCTCTAAGATACATCTCTACGGAAGTTTCCGTAGCGCGGGTATAAACGCACAGTACCTCTGGTCCACAACTTTCGACGATGGAACTCATCTCTGGTTGCTATCAGCCTCTGTGTTCTAAAAGTGAAGCCTTAAAACGAGTTACCATGTGTTAATATTTCGTACCTATGCTCGCAGATCGCCGCATGTCATTCAAATTAACCTGTCGATCTGATTCGAATATCTCCATCCAATCTTTCAATGCGAATATCTGCTAGCTCGCCGTTGAAAAAAACTTATGTAATGTCGTTGTTCCAGTCATCTCGATCGGACTTCGCTTTGACACTTAACTCGCTTGTCCTTATTTCCCGTGTACGTCCGTTCGTTGTTTCGAGTTCGGAAGTATAATGATTGCCAAAGAGTCTTTCTCTTTAGTCCCTTTCTTTTATAAATTGCACGCCGGATTCGATATTTGTCCTTTTCTATCATGCCTATTACCATGACATACCAAAACAGTCTATTCCACCACCGCATGGAAATCTACCCAAAATGAAAGTAAAAATTCGGGGAGATCGCCCACGAATTTTATAAAAGGGCCCTATGTCCTGAAAAGGGCTACACTAATTTAACAGGGATGTAGTGACGTATTATATAGCTAGAGACACACTATTAATGAACCTAACGAATACTGTGGCCATGCCAGACGTGGGCAACTTCGTGATGTGCATCACACTTTTAGCTGGCTAAACGTAGCATGATGATAAATGAAAGAATGGCAATACTACAGTGTATAAAGCAAAATGTTAGATCTTAAATGATTCTAAATAACAATCCTGCGAACTTACGTGCTTGCTGCACCTTCATAGTACCCTAGCTACATACGTAAAGCTGACATATAAGTTCCATATATATGAGTCATATTGTGTCACTATGTTATATATGCATTAATTGCTACCTCATAAAATTGAAAAATATAATTGATGACTAAAGTGGCTGTAATTCGGCAACATGATTGTTGGAATATTGCTGTGGAGTTCCCTAACTCCAATAAAATTCAGAATCTGTTTAATCTGATTTAATCTATGCTTGTTTCAGTCTTACAAAGGATGATGAATTATCATATCGTTTACAAACTATTTGTGGAAGCGTCTCTGTACATGGATATTGACACTTTTGAATTAATTTAGATTAGTTATATGACAACACATTTATTTATCATAGGATCATAGTAAACTATTAGCAAATTGAGAGTGAACATTTAAAAAGTGTTGTAAAAAATGTAAAAAAAGCTAATATTTAAATTCTTATTAATTAAGATTCTTAATTAAGTTATCTAGCAAGAAGGTTTGCAACTTTTTTTCCCTTTCTATTAAAATCACCTTGTAACATTTTTGGATCAAATCTTTGGAAATGAACTTTCATAATTTAAATGGCTTTCTTCAAATGCCTCTCCCGTTGCTCGTTACAACATCTTTGTAGCATTAAAACTCAATTGGGTTTCGCAATAAGAACAATCTGTTGCCAATAGTATATCACATTTTTCAAAATGAATAGCCATACGAATTTAATATTAACGCATATTTTATTGTTGTCTCTCATCTTGTTTAGGGAGCGCCGGGCGATAAAGGCGAAGGAGGACTTGCGGTAAGTATATTTATTCTAAGTCTGTGAAATATGATGCGAGTTACAAATGCCCTAATGAAGGTGACTGTTTTCCGAGAACAACGTGTTTACTAGGTTTAAGTTGGTCTTACTTTGATACTTATTAACCTGAGATGAGCACAGTGACGAGCCTAGACTGTCAATCAAGGTAATGTTGCGCTTTGGATGTTTCTCTTGGTAAAAAATAGAGGAGTCAATCCGTTCGGGCGCGAAGTATCGTCCTTGTGGAGATCTTGTAATTTTTTTTAAGTAAGGTGTGATAGCCGAACGCAAAGCCCGGGCAGAAAAATCATTGAGAGTCGATTTAAACACCGCGCACACATAGCATATTATTTGCTTGTTGCTTTTTAGTTTTTATCATCTACACATCCATCCGTTTTATTTAACAAGTCTGGTAAATGCACTGTTACTAAGCGTGAGTTCATCTGTATAATTGTCCGCTTGTATGTGACTGTAGAACTCAAACTGATTTTGTGAGGTGGTCACATTGAACTAATTTTTCTTAAGGATGCTAGAGTTTCATCTTAAGAAGAACTGCGCTTAGGAAGGAGCCGATTGAATGAACACTTTTTTCCCGCACGTTTGTTTTTCTTATGAAGCGAAATGTCAACTTCTTTAAGTTAGTCGTTTTTCGCGATTTGCATGAGAACCCTTGAAAAATTCTAAAATATTTATAATATAAAGCTCTTTGTTTTTCAATCTTGACAGAACAGACACAACATTGAATTTGCAGAACATTTTCGATATTCTGTTTTTTTTTTTAATGATTTAGGTATGAGCAAGCTTTGTCCAAACAGTTCATAATATGTGAAATATTAAACATCATGGTTTATATTCTTTGACTACGTGAATACTTTAACCCGAAGAGGTACTTTGTTTCTTGTAGGAGGGTATAATGCTGATTTGGTAAATTTGCAAAACCGCTGAAATATGGGCTATCTTGGCATATGGTTCATATTCCTGGATCAGATCAATACTTTTCTGGATTGTAGAATTATCTAAAATAGGGAAACGAAATATATGCAACAGGATATCGACGTACAACAAAGTTCCAATACTCGCATTAGTAACAGAATAAATACTTTGAGAGGACCTCTGGAACTGCAACGGAACGCCTGTAACCATAATCAAATAACAATGAATATTACAGGTTAGATACAATATTAAGAGGTTGACAAGATAAGTGCAGCGTTGCGGCGTGCAGGTAGACAATGGTATCCGTATAACTGCGACGAGGTAGTTATTGCTAACAGATCGAATAAATCGGTTTGTGGTATCGTTGAATGAAAAGTCAAATTAATTTGTGAAGATGCTTAAAAAAGGAATCGGGAATTAGTGGGTAATCTTTTTTTGGCGGAAATAAAACCACGCGTCGGAGCGTAGGCCCACATTCGACCTCTATAAAATGGGTCTTGCCTTGGTGCTGCCGAACCATAGTAGAATTTAACAAGATTACTGTAAACGCAAACGCCTGCAATCTAATAAGTTAGGCTAAGTGTAACGCAAATAAAACTATTTTATCCTCAGGTCAGGGATGAACTCAGTTATGCGCTTCAAAATAATTCCTACCGCATTTAGTGCAAACATGAGACCATTTTTTCCTGCTTCCATAATAGTTCAGGCGCCACAGAATAAAGACATCTTTAAAACCTGGGAACATTTTGCTGCTTTCACGATTTTGCTTTTAAATTTTCGATTGAAATTCTGATTTGTGCTTTTTATCGTAAAATTATCGTAAAATGACAATGTATGTCGGTGTAAAGGCTGAGAAGCAGATTAACTGAAATGGCGAAATGCGATAACTGCAACCGAGTATCGAGATTAGAAAAACGTTGCAACTATAGGGTTTGAATAACTAAATAAGGTTTAAAACTGGCGGATGACTTTGTACATAGGTAGTGACACTTGTTTGGGATCACTTACCTATTTGTGGACTGTTGTTGTTATTTTATGTATATTTTATATATATTATTATTCCAGTATTTTTACGGATTAATGGCAACACGAAAATGGAACAGATGATACGGAAATGAGCAGTCAACTGAAATATTTCAATTGGACAATGCGATCACTGCGACAGTATAATCGTGATAGGGCTGAAAGTTATGTTGGATGTACTCAAATAATTCGAACACTCCCAAAATTACTGCATTAATTTATCTGGGCTTTCTAAACCAGGGAAATATAATTACTGTAAGGTCGTAGCCGTAACGGAACAACGAAATCGAGATTGCATAATCTCAAGAAAATTTTATAACTGTAAAGGTCTACAATATAAATATTTGATCGAACGTAAATCAAATACACTAATACTAGAATAGGCCAATGAAACATTGCCACAGGCTATCGGGTTAGGTGGCGTAAGGTATTTCCAGTAAGGTAATTATTGGTTTATAATATAATTCAGGCTAGGCTGGGTGTAAAATTATGAATCAAATTGGCTCAATTAACGGAAAAACAAGCATGAAACAAAGCCGTCCGCTCGGTCTAATATCTACCTACATATTTAGCTAATTACTTACTAAAACTCTGCACCCGTCTGTTTGTTTAGCTGCTTGTTTATTGGACCCGAATCGCTTTTTTAAAGTAATTGCATTGAGGTGACTGATGGGTTTCTAGAAATTCATGTAAGGGAGACCTGTCGGTAACATGGAAGGTACTGATAAATACTTTTGCAGGAGAGTTTCTTTAAAGCATGAAGGAGAATAAACTATATTTATCGCTACAGCGGGGCAGCTGGGGTGCTAGAATATCTTAATAAAAAAATGGGGTACGTGGAGAATAGTAATAGCAACGGGATGAAATGGCAGTCAAATATTTACCTGGACGTAATAAAGTGGAAATCTGTTTCAAAAAAATTCTAAATTTTTCATGAGCGGATGTCTAATATATGTAAATTAAGAAGTCGAAGTGGCTGATATGGCAAACGTTTTGATAAATTTTTTTTTGGAAACTTCTCCTAGTAATTTTTTGATTGACACAAACGTATTGCTACAGTTTTCTCTATGCAAAGTACCACTTCTTTTTTTTTGACACCAGTCTAGCAATTTCGACGAGCCGACTAAAAGTATATATATATTCCGATGCCTAAGATAGGTATTTCGGAATGAAAAGGGCCAAAAAACAGAATGCCGTCTTCTGCTTTGGTTCTGTCACTCGGATAAAGCCTTTTTACATGAAAGTCTACGTATAGGGTTTTTCTTAGAACTAATCCACAACGCTCGACGAGCTGAATTGAAATGTAATTAATGTTGCTATACTTAAAGTTTTCAGTGTGCAAATGCCATTTATGGGCGAAAATTTAACATGATCCTCTATATAAGAGAGACGCTTTTCGCTATCAACCAATGGATCCCGACGAGCGAATAAAAATTCTGTGTATGTCTTAACATCTAAAATGGATATCTCAGTATGAAAATGCCAAAAATACGCTAGTCGTACCAATTTAAGTAAAAGTAAAGTTAAAATTGGTTTCAGTGTAGTTTTGAGCCATTTATTAATCAATGTGCATTCAAAGATTAAGGTAGATACAATACAAATAAAATTCGTTCATTTAGAACGGGTCGACAAAATAGCTGGCAAAGCATAATGAGGTAAGTGGTATAGTAACTGCAACGGGTTATTTGTAAATAATTCTAAACTACGTGAAGCGTCAGCAAATTAAGGTAGTCAAACAGGTAACGCAACACAAACGCTAGGCAAAGCCCGCGAATTAGTCAAGTTTATCTACTTAACTAGTAAAAGTCCTAGGTAGGTGATTTCGTTCGGCCCAAGTAGCTGATTAGGGTGAACAGATTCGACAAATTTTTTCTTGTTCGGTATAGCTCCGCCCTGCAAGAAGTAGTGCTTAGGATGGAGCCAATTGAATAAATGCTTCTAATTCTAGAGGAAAAGATTTGGTTTCTCTCTATTTTTATTTACTTTGTTTAAAAACAATGTCGTAATGCTCGTTAAAAACTACCGTGATCCGGGCTATACGGCGGATGTATCTAAATTTCCCATCCGAATTCTCTTAGCTTTTGCCAGATAGTTAAAGGTGTATACGATCCGGCAATGACGCCCCATCTGTTAACTATTCCGGTCGATTTTTTTAATGGCTTGTTGTTATCTTGCTAGGTAGTGACAACAGATGTCCGAATCAATTGTTTGCCGGATAACAACTTACAATGCACCACTCTTTTTCAGTCCAACCGGACACATAGCATACATTTTTGGCGTTGGCCCGGATCATATCACAAAGTGTGTAGTACATGTTTTTTTTTTCGCACATCACTGTTGTATGTGAACCTTCTTCATTACCCGTGATATATCGCCACAGAATTTGTTGCCTGATTTTGTTTCTGTAAAGTTTCGCAGATGACTTGCTTCAAATGTTCAAAAATTATTTGGTGGTAGATGCTTAACTCCTTAATAATGTTGTGGCTACCTATGTATCACAAGCTTCTTTCTGTAGCTAGCATTCACCAGTTAAAAATTGTTTCATGACAAATGTTTAGTTCCTCGGCGATGTAATGGCTTCCCGTGACTACCAATGGCTCTGCTTTTGGCTTATGCTTTTAGTCCATGGCTTGACTCACGCAACAATTTCATCATTTTCTTTCATAACTGATTGACAACTACGAAAAGTATCTTTGACATTGAAATTCCCAGAATGAAAGCAATAAAATAATTTGTGAGCCGATTTTTTTCAATAATCATCTTGGCTATAAGCAGCTTGAGCGAAATGTGTGCTCTTATCCCGATAAAATTTTGAAACATAGCATGTAATATATATATATATTTGTTACACTCTATTATTATATATTACTATACTATTATACTGCACAAAACAATTTATTTTTTGTAGAAATTTCAATCATTCTTAGCGTGTTCAAGATAGAGTGCCCTATAAAAACATTATATTAGTTATATTTGGCCCTTTTGAATGGCCCCAATGCCCACTTGACGCAATTCATATGACCTGGTATGTGTGACTTTAAAGCCACTTAGCTAAAAAAACGTCAATCCTTGACACCGAATACTTAGTGACAACGCATATGTCTCTATATACAGAAAAAAATATATACTTACTTATAACGTTAAGTTCACTGACCATGATAATACGAACACCAATTTTCTGGAAGAATGAGAAGCGAACAATCGCTTGTGAACTCGTTTGGAGGCACAACCAACCCCACTCAACCACCAACTGATTAAGACCATTACGACGTTTTTGATTACTAATCATCGGCCCGCCCAACTAAACAGGAAGCAAAACATCTTCCTGTTGGGAAGTGTAATCACGAAATATGCCGTTTCTCTAAAGCGCTATTTTTCAAATGTGAGAAGACGTATTTTTGCTGCAAGAAAGCAAAATTAAATTAATTGGACATTAGTTGGCTCGCTACATCATGCTCTCCAGAGCCAACACACCTGCTTGAAGAACTTTTTATGCAACCTGCAGATAATATAATGCGCTGTTTTCCATGACATCGTTTGGCGTGAGTGCACAGTAGCATTTTTCAGTAAATACGTATAATTTTTTCTTAGTTATACAGGGGTTCCTTTATCGTTGAATAGGTCTGCCGGTGACGGTCCATGTCCGAATATATTTGAACATATTCGAATCCACTCCTTGGATCTTCAAATTGCTATCAAACACTGACTGCACAATACGAGTCATCCCGAATTCTGTACGATCGTTGAAATACTAAGTTGCGCTTCAACGGGCGAATGTCTATATGTATTATTGCTCCACAGCAAAGGAAAGCATTTAACACGTACGTGAAGCTCGTAATATTATTGATCCACAGCGACGACCGCTGATGACAACAGCTGATGAGATAAGAGTTATAGTTTAGTATTGCCGCGGTCCCTCTATACAAGACCAGCACATCGTTTTCCGCTACCGAGACACTTCACGTTATATCAATACCCAATCCACATACGATCGGACGCCTTTCCATGTTAGAATCACATCGATCCTAAGACAATTTTTAGTACGTTCTTTTGTTTGCCTTTGATGACGACCGTTGGCACCCTTAGGTACGAACAGTTCACAACGGGAGATTGGGTTGATGCATTAAATCTGCCCCGGGCTGGTTGACCGTACCAACAGTACCTTGTTGACTTGGCGGTAAAGATTGCATTGTAGAGTTTATATTATATTCAATGCAGTGAACGGTTCATCTGAGCAACAGTATATAGGGGCCAACACCGGCACAATCGTCAATGATGACGATCTAGCCCTCGTAGGGAAGCGCTTTATCTTCTTCTCGATGAATTAGCTTGGACAAAATTGCTGGTTCAATCCCTACCAAAGATACATTCTACACAATCTTGGCGAATGAAAAAAAGTTTATTCCACTTGTTTAACTGTAGATGTCAAAAAGGGGCTACAAAACAAAGGCAGATATATGCTAGTAAGAGACGACCCAAGATGGCCTTATTGTACAAACAGTCCTGTTCTCAATATTTCGTGTAAGTACCACTATCACGTGGTATTATCCGTTCTTATATTAGTTGCTACTTCAGCAGCTATTGCTTTTCATTATGTATGTGACCAAGCAAGCCTTTGTTCATAGTTTCTATGATAGCTTAGTGGGTAACGTATTTGTCTGCTAATTTTAAAGACACGTTATAGTTTCGGCTCGAACCCTGGCCCAAACACCTCGTTTTGTGCTGGGAGCGAGCCGTCTGATGAACTGTTTAACGGCGATGCCGGACGTCAAAATCGACACCTTTGAACATAGTACGTCGATAATGGGTAAAACAACATAGTACCGCTACAGTATCGAAATAATAAATCAGGTGCACTATAGCAGTTTACCGCATAGTTACGTCTGGCCAGCGTGAATATGACTAAATGCAATGCCAATAATGTATTCAAACTGAGCTTCACCACATGGACCTTCAACATGGTTTTAGTGTCAAGCGGTTCTAGCTAAATTGAAAAAATACTTTGCAGAATGACCACTAATTTCAACGGTATCACTAGTTGCTCACTGTTTTCATTTACGATTAAAGGCAGATAAAAACGCATGCAAAATAATTGTCAACGAGAACGAGCGTCCGTTCTTTCTAGAATATCAACAAATACAAAAAGAGGTTACCTCTATATATGTTTGCGTGACGCAATGGACCCATAGTTTGTGTAGGCATAAGTAGGTGACTTAGGGTGTATGACATAAGGTTCCGCTGTTCTTCCATGAGTGTAATGAGGTTACCCTTCTGCCTATTAAAGTCTCACTTAAGCTCTTCTCAGCAGGCTATAAAATATCATAAAAAATGGTTGTCAATTGTTTCTGGCCGGCGCTTTTATGCTGGAAAGATATACGGAAGTTAACTTTGCATGAGCAATACGGGTAGTGTGCGAGTATGGCAAGTTCCAGGTACAGAAATATTTAGCCCGGCTCATGTAACGGTCTAAGAATTAGTCTAAACTTTTGCAAGAAAAACACGCTGATATTCAGAAGCAAAACCCCGAGACCTTGTGGCTTACCGTAGCATGCGAGACGCATATCATTTAGGTAGATTACACAGTTCAGAAGCGCAAGCAACTAAATGGCATGAAAGCCTCTTTTTTTACAAAGAGCACTGGGATCACGATCCGCAATCGCCGTAACTCCTAGCCAACTTACCAAAGTTCATTTAAGACCTGCATCGCTATCTCGAAATCCCAATAATATGGATCTTTAGGACCAATTTTGAAAATTGGGAATACAAACTGACGCAGATTGATGGGGTATTTTTTGACTTGGATGCGCAGAGGAATAGTGAATGAAACAGGGCAAACGGGTTAAATCTACACTTATGAGTCGCATTGTCATCTATGAGCTCCATTCTAAGTACTAGAACGATCAGGGCTTCCACGGGCCTGATCACATATCTAAATGCTCCAATATGGGGAAAAACTGGTATATATCATGCTGTTCGCCGCTGCCTATTATCATCTTTAAAATTGGCTAGCAAATTACTCGAATTTAATTAAAATAGGTGTTTGCAATCCATATGACGTGAAGTGATTTAGTGCTCTTATACTGACTCCAATTGTGATTGTGTTGTTAACCTGTATATATGCAGCGGTTGATACCACCAGAAAAGGTGAATAAATACAATTCAATTGATTGGCAACCTGCCAATTAAAAGTCTTATGATCGATACTAGCGTACGTAGCGCACTTAAATAGATCATTAATTACAGGTGCCTGTCATACTATTGCTAACTGTATAATTACATGCCATCCATAAATATAAATTAGGATAATTATGTTTGTGTAAATGATATTTAAAAATATAAAAAATATGGGTAGCAATATGATTTAAGAAACATTTAATATTCATTTGCTTCACCGAGTTCGACATCATTACCCACATATAATTGCCGATAAAAATTTTCCTTTGGCCACACTTTGAAGTTTCGATGTTTTTTTTAAATTAATAATATAGTTCATTCTTTTTTATAGTCATCTTATATACACTCTAAAAATTTCAACTGTTTTAAAGGTACAAATGGCACATACCATTCTTTCACTTTGCAAGAGAAGAGGCATGCGTTTGTAGAACGAACAAAAATATTGTAATATATGGGAAAAACCAATAAATCGTTGAGAAAAAATCAGTTTCTTTATCGATCAGAATGATACTCAATGTACCGATTTTTATGTTCGCATCGGCAATCTGGGCGAGGGTGCAGTGGTAAGGTTTTTTTTTACTAACCAGGCCACCCACATAAAAACCTGGCATAAAACCCTTTGACCTTCTAGGAAAAATCAAGTAATAAGAAGGAGGATAAATATAGTATTCATCTCTCCTGCCAGTATCTCGAGATTGCTCGTATTGAAGCTTATTGAAAATTCTTGCAAGTCTTTGAAGCAGTGGTAGAGAGATAATACTAAGCATGTCATAGAGGGGACAGATAATAGTCAGTTATGGAAAACAATTTTTTTTTATTTACCATTGGATCGAAACACCAAGCGTCTGTTTTGACGTTTATTGATTTTATTTATTTAATTGCTTGCCATTAAAATTATTTTAATATAAACTTTCGTACACAAACACTTATCCCGTTGCAGTTGTCCCGTTATTTCGTTGGCATTAATTCGTCAACGCATTCTTCGTTTGAAGAAATAGTTAATCTAGATCTTAAAATAGTTAGTATAAGCCCAAACAAGTTGTAATTCGCCTGCGCATGCAGAGCCAACCTCAGGATGGTGCATAAGTATAAAACACTCCTAGACCTCAAAGATCTAGCTTGGTTATTTGTGCTCTTACATTCTGGTAATCTGGATACCTTGTTATACTTACCCCATTTTGGTATTCTAAATAATCCGTTCTCTAATCTCAGCGTTGGCATTTTAATTTTCAACAATTTCAACAAAAAATGAAAGCGAATATCTATGAATTATAAAAGTGTTCAAAAGTCATATATTTCTTCAAAGAAAATGTGTGCCTATCTTCTGGCGTTTGCACTAAACCCGATGGAAATTATCTTTTTTTGCGAACATTCAAATTAAGAAAAGTGAGACGTATTATGTGGATTCTAGCCAAATGATCGACTTCTAATACATTTTGCGATTAAAAAGTCAACTAACCTACAGATCCTGTTTTTGGGGCAAAATAAGCTTGGATGCGCCAGGCTTGGTTCTAGACAAGCTTAAGATATCTTTTTATTTTCTGCAAGGTATATTTATCAATACTGTGTTAAATGGAAACTAACGTTGCTTCCGGAACGTTACTAAGGCTTAAGGATTTTTATC